CATCATATTGCCAGTGCTGCAGCATTAGTATTTGACATCATGCACAACTTGTCTTTCCATTAGGAAAGGCCATTCCATGTCTTTCATATTTATACCTACTGTCCTATCTGAAGACATAATTGTAAGCTCATTGACATGACATGACCAGTTTTTGACAGCATGACCAAGTTTGCATTTCATGCTGTCTGCTTTCACATTGATAACTACTGGCCTGTCCCAAACATAGTCAACTTTGATAGAGGTCTTTGAGGGCTGTAGGATGATGGGCTGATTCATCCTTTGAGGTGTCTTGAAGACAGGTCATATTGTAAGTTGACCATGTATTGAGTAGATATCAACATGAATAGCCTTCTCTAGCTTGAAAGCCAACTTGGGCATGATGTGAGGAACTGATGATGTGGCAATAGCAATATGTAAAGTCATGTCAGTCCTTCAGCCATATCCCCATATGAGCTTACAATTATGTCTTGAGATAGGACAGTAGGTATCAATATGAAAGACATAGAATGGCCTTTCCTAATGTGAAAGACAACTCGTGCATGATGTCAAATACTAATGCTGGCACTGGCAATATGATGGCAATCAACCTCATCCCCATAACATAGATAGGGCCAAGGACACCATAAACTACATGTCAACTACAAACTTTTTTAAATGAAAAAGCAGACACTACAAACTCTTCTAATAAAAAAGTGCACACTACAAACTTTTGTAGTCTCAAAAAGCGGACACTACAAACTTTTCTAATGAAAAAGCACAACACTACAACTTTTTTAATGAAAAAGCGCAACACTACAACTTTTGTAGTCTCAAAAAGCGGACACTACAAACTTTGTAGTCAAGATAACCTTTTGACTCTAACCCTAACTATGTAGTCTAAGTCCATGCTTTTGTAGTCTAAGTTTGACTTTTGTAGTCTTTTGTAGTGTATTAGTAAACTTTGTAGTCTAATTTCGACTTTTGTAGTCTTTTATAGTGTATCAGTAAACTTGGTAGTCTATATCTGATTCTTATAAGTAGTATGGGATGCACCTTCCTTTTTTGGTCATTTTTCCCATGATACAATAATTGTAGCCCTTTCTTTTAGCATTCTGAATATACTGGAATCACATTATTTATTTTTGTTTTCATAGAGAAAAACACAAAAAAAAAAAAAAAACACAAGGCTTTTGAAATTCCTTTACCTCATATCTCCACAACGGGAGCACTTCAGAACATAATTCAAACAGATTCGGGAAGCTACAGTGTAGGGCTACAACTTTCGTTTTTTGACCATTTTTGGTAATTGGTCATGTGACCACCCTCCAGGGAAGCCCATTGCATGGACCCTGACATGTGGGATACATTTGAAAAATCACAATGAAATGCCCAGGGCTACATTTGAAATTTTGCAATGAAATACCCAGGGTATCTATTGAAAAATCACAATGAAATACCCAGGGATACATTTGAAAAATCACAATGAAATGCCCAGGGCTACATTTGAAATTTTGCAATGAAATACCCAGGGTATCTATTGAAAAATCACAATGAAATACCCAGGGATACATTTGAAAAATCGCAATGAAATGCCCAGGGCTACATTTGAAATTTTGCAATGAAATGCCCAGGGCTACATTTGAAATTTTGCAATGAAATACCTAGGGCTCCATTTGAAAAATCGCAATGAAATGCCCAGGGATACATTTGAAAAATTGCAATGAAATACCCAGGATATCTATTGAAAAATTGCAATGAAATACCAAGGGATACATTTGAAAAATCGCAATGAAATGCCCAGGGTATCTATCGAAAAATCGCAATGAAATGCCCAGGGTATCTATTGAAAAATCTCAATGAAATACCAAGGGATACATTTGAAAAATCGCAATGAAATGCCCAGGGTATCTATTGAAAAATCGCAATGAAATGCACCAGGTATCCATTGAAATTTTGCCATGAAATATCCAGGGATACATTTGAAAAATCACAATGAAATACCCAGGGATACATTTGAAAAATCGCAATGAAATGCCCAGGGTATCTATTGAAAAATCACAATGAAATATCCAGGGCTGCATTTGAAATTTTGCAGAAAATGTGCTGGGTATCTATGGAAAATTCAGTATGAAATACCCAGGCCTACATTTGAAATGCCTTTCAAAAAATCCTAAGCATTATAGATATGGCCTCTAGGCTTAAGTCTAAGTTATAGAAATGACCCTCTAGGCTTGGGTCTAGGTTATAGAAATAAAGTGGTAGCCACTAGTGATCTGCAAGCTGCAGAGTGCACATGAATAAATAAGGCACTTTTCGACGTGTTGCCCTTGGACGAGCGTAAGAAGTACATCGAAATGGCCAAGAAAGAGGGTGACGAGAAGTTGAATGAGTGGAAGAATAAGTTGTCTGCGCCCCCGTCCACAGACCCAGAGGATCGACAAAGGTGAGCCACTGGCCTAAAGCCGTGCCATCACTCTTTTTCTGATAATTTCAGGTGCATTGCGGCCCTTCCGAATTTTGCCCAGCCCATTTTGGATCTCATTCACACGCACACCAACATGCAAGCCACCTTAATTGTGGGTGGACCTGAGCCTGCTGATGGAGGTCGTTTAAACATAATCAGGTACGTTCGTGCTTTCAATGCCTTTGTTCTGGGCGCTGATTTCTCGGCTTTCTTCTGTTTAGCATGCATGCTGGCTCTATCAAAGGGCCAGTGGGTATGAACTTTGGACAGGCAGAGAGGGAAGGATTTCAAGAGGTCATAACCCCCCTCTTCAGCCGTTACCTTAGAAAATGCTACAGTACGTTCAATTCGTCCATATTCTGCATACGTTTTCTCATTTCTTGTCTCAGCCAAGTCGGAATGTCATGCTCAAGCCCTCCCTTCCTCCAACCCCATTTTATCCTGGCTCACGGGCAACAAGGTCTCTGTGCACAGGGCCGATTGGGACATAGATCCTTCGGCTGCTGCTGCGGCCCCTCTCAACTCTGCACCACGCCCTTCTACCCCAGTACCTTTGCGCCCTGCTTCCCCGCTCTCTGCCCATGGATCTCCTCCACCCTCCCTGCGCGGATCTCCTCCACCCTCCCTACCCGGATCTCCTCCCCATTCTCCAGATCCTATTCGTCCCAGTGACGTGCGCGAAGAGGAGTCCGTTTCTGGAAAGAAAAGGAAGGCTTCATCATTGTCTATCGTAGATTCCGGTGCAGGGGGTGAGAGGGGTGGGGCTAAAAAGAGGAGGGGCATGACTTCTGCTGTGGCTCCTCCAACCCCCTCCCTTCTTGGTTCACCTCCTGTTCGACAATGCTTCGTTCACACGACTTGGGCCTCACATGGCTGAAACTAGTTGGCCTGTGGGAGGCATTTGAACAACGGCACAACTTCAAACCAGCAGACAAACAATCCAACCTCTCCAGCTTCAAACGCCCCCTTGCATAGCAGAGTGGTTGAAGAATGCACACAGGCCTTCTTGGAGGCCCTCGTTCAAGGATGCAGGTAAGTTCAATCTCCAGTTCAATGCAGACTTTTTGGCGTGGTGGGGTAGTCTCCTGCCAGCATCTGCAGGGGAGGATGTGACACCCATCGCCAAGCCTGGAATAAACAGCCTTCTAAGCGTGATGGCCGCCCTTTTTTTCTGGGGTGCTTCCTGTGGACCAATGTCGGCTTGGGCAGAACGTCTCGAAGACATCTCAATGGCGTTAGCGAACTTAGTTGGTGAGTAACATATCCGCCCAGGAGTTGAGGGCATTCATGCATGTGGGGGGAGGGGGCAAGTCTTAGCGGGGTCTTTTCTTTTTCTTCACCAAATCGTATTTTTATTCTTGTATATTCATTTAGTACCTCAATGCCGTTGTGTTCTCTTGTTCCACATCAACTCTCAAAGCAGGCGGCCACAACATGGTACGTTTTCATTCCCTCTATGAAATAACATGAAAGTGGCTATTTAGGTGAACAAGAATAAACAAGTTGAAGAGGACGGTGACGGCCAGGCATGCCAAGTACAAAGCCAGGAACAAAGCCAAGAAGAACACCAGGCACGCCAAAAAGATGAAGCCAGACACATCACATAAGACACAGCATGAGAAAGGGCGATGACAACAACAAGCCAGACACAGCACGAGAAACAGCGAGGACAACGACTAGGGCGACAACGACGACAATGACAAGGGGGCAGAAGACGACAAAGGGCATGAAGACGACGGCATGGCGACGGCCAGGAACGCCAAGTACGAAGCCAAGAAACATCGCCAGATACAGAAACCACGAGCACGACAACGAGCACGCCGACAATGACGAGAGGGTGGAAGATGACAATGGGCATGAACACGACAAAGGCGAGGACGACGACGAGCACGCCAACAACGACGAGAGGGTGGAAGACGACGACAGGCATGAACATGACAAAGGCCATGAAGACGTCAACGACGAGGGGACAAGGGGATGGCAACTAATGGGAGAGGCAATAACGAGGGGGGCAGGGGGCAGGGGACCATGAGAGAGGGAGGACCCTGACGTCGGCAAGGCCAATGACGAGGGGGGGCAGGAGATGATGAGAGGGGGTGCAGGGGATGATGAGAGGGAGGGCCCTGATGGCGGCAAGGGAGGACCCTAACGGCGGCAAGGGAAGCGGGGGACGATGAGAGAGGGAGGACCCTGACGGCAGCAAGGGAGGACCCTAACAGTGTTGAGGGAGGACCCTGACAGCAGTGAGGAAGACCCTGATGGCGACGAGCAGACAGCAAGGCTGCCAATTACTGTACATGTTTCCTGGTAGCCAGCTAGCAGGCTGGGCAGTTAGGGGAATTGATGCATCAGGTAAATGGTTAGTTAGGGAAATTGATACATCAAAGTAGCCACTACAGGTGCGTGGGACGCCACAGAGTCAGAGTTGATCTTGAATACCATGGTTTTCCCATGAAGGAGGAGGACAGGGCATTGGAGGCACCATGAAGGTCACCATGATGCTTGATGAGTAGTTCAGAGTGATGGAACTGGCCATGTCCTGTATGTTAGGTATTGCTTTGCATGACATAGCTCGTGGATGAATACTTGCATTATCTGATTCCTGCTCATGAACTTCCTCTGTATCTTCAGAACTATCGGGTACCGTACCATCCATCGTGACGTTACGCTCTTCCTGCTTCAATGAAACTGATATGTCATGAGGACGGTCAAGGGCCAGACCACTTGAGACCGAAACTGACTGCCTCGTCACGGGAAGGGTAATTAGGCCAGTAATGGATTCCGAAGTGTTCGAGACTGAGGTAAGATGGGATGAATGAGTTTCGATACGCGTAGAAAAGGTGTTTGTGTCACGTACCAACGTTGGAGCGAATGGAACTTCTTGCAGCCCTTCTAAACTTTGCGCTGTGACACTATTTGCAACCTTGAAGGGTGGCAGTTGCATGTTTGTTCTCGGTAAGTGAACCGCCAAAGAATCCATTGAACGTGTTGGTTGAGTGAACCCACAAATTTCTGGAAAATTGGAGGGAGGCGGTTTGTCGATGTGACGAGAAGTCAAAATTTCCTGTTGATTTGGTCCGTGAAAACTGGTGTCTACAGTGGGCACCTCGCCAGTGTTCGGCGTCGCTGCCTTGCATGAATTCCAAGAGGTCCTGAGAGAACTGGCAGGAGGGGGTGAACGAGTTGTCGAATTCAAAGGTGCGTCATCTGACAGTATAGCGGCAGGACTACCGACGATAACGTCAGCGATATCCTCGTGCAAAGTAGGTTGGTTTTGATTACTCACTTCCTCTGCATTGTCTTCGTGGCCATTGTCCATCTCAGAACCTACACATTCGTGATCCATTGGGTCCTCGCGCTCTTGGGAGTACGACGGGTCGCGAAGTCGAGTTTGATCGATGGACATGATCGAACCTGATTGAGTCGGCGAGGTGCATGTTTTCGGAGTAGCATGATGATCTGAATGGTTCGGATTTGCAAACTGGTGAGTTTCGTCGCATGAAAGCAACGGATCCGTGATGCGTACTGAGTTTGCATTGGAGAGGAACCTTTGTAGAACCTCTGGAGAAATTGGTCCGTTTGAAACGACCTTGAGTGGTGGGATCCAACAACTTGTCACCAGTGTTTTCAAGCGGACTGATGGAAAGGAAACTCGAGGATGTGGAGAACATGAGGGAGGAATTTCGTCGACATCACGGTGAGTGGGGAATTCGCATTGAGTTGATGCATGAGAGCAGGCATCTGCAGCGGGCACTCCTTCGTCAACCTTGGGCGCCATCGTCCTGTGGGAGTCCCAAGGGGCGCGTTCGAAGTTGGGGAGTCCGAGAGAACCAGCACGAGTAGATGCGCAAGTTGTCGGATGCGATGGAGTTGATCTGGCACTGATCGGTGTGATGGGTGCCCATTTCGAAATCCTTGTTTGAGGCGGGGGTTTGAAGTTCGGAATATTTGTAGTACCTTGAACCAGTGATAGATGAGGAGGGGATGAATGGACCAGAACGAGAACATTCATCACTACGTATGTAGCAGTAAGCAAGGTAGTGTAGGATGGACTCCACATCCCATCGGAACCAGGTTGCCAGAATCTCGAACTGCTCTGCAGTCAGCCAAGGTGATTCCGCAATACTGCTCACGTTGCGACCCCAGTCAGGTAGGCTCCTTGAAGTAGTGAGCTGGCTATCCTTCGGGAGTGCGCTAGCACGTTCCACAACCAAAAAACAATGTTCCAACAGATCGGCTAGATCATCCAATAAGTCCTGATTGACTGCATAGAGGCTAGGTGAGTGCTGGTCACGTTGAAACGAACTGACCCTTGTGAGAGCGTCCTCAAGCAATGCCAATTCCCTCCTAAACCAATCCATTTCCACCAGTGCTTGAGGAAGCCACTCGAAACCCTTGAGTTCCGGATGAGGCGAAGACTTGTGTTGACCTGGGAAGGCTTCGTGACCAAAGGTGAGAGCATGCCACGCCTCGTATCCCTTGAAATTCTCGGAACGTAGAGGGTGAGAGGCAGGGAAATCAACACAGCAGGATGTGACCTTGCCATAGGAGGGGTGCCGATAGTTAGAAGTACCTCTGAAGGGGTACAAGGGGTGATGTGAGTTAGAATTCGGCAATGTAGATGGATCCGATTTGGTGGGCGAAGTGCGAACTCGTGGTGTACTTGGAGCACGAGTAGTAGTAGCATACCTGTGAGGCATAACAACATTAGTAACAAATGGAAGACCAAATCATACCTGGGTTGAATGAAGACGCAGTTTGCATGTATGGATGAGCAAAAGATGAGAGCGAGAAACAAGTTCGGAGAGAGGTTACGTAACCAATCACTTGCGAAGATGTTCCCAATGTGTCCACCAATGTTACGATACGGCTCGTAATCTTTGGTGTACTCCTATGAGTATACAAGTAGTCCGTAGAAATTGAATATAAAGGGTTACCAAAGAAGAGACAAGCAGGACCGTGGGGTTCTGTAAGTATCTTTGAAGTTAAAGGAGACTTTGAAACCAAGTAAGAACTTGAGTACCAGACTGCCGAATGATTAGAGCGAGTCTTTAATCAAACGTGATGTTAGCACGAAGTGTAATGATCTTAGGACAGCTTCAGACTGGGTAGTGCGAAGCCTTACCTTGTCCTACAAGTACTGATTGTGCTTACAGCAGTTCTCAAGTATGAGAGTAAAGTGGGGTAAAGTTAAGAGATGGCTCTCTTGCATTCAGAGAGGCAGTGGATACCTTCCCATAAGGATCTGAAGACGTTTGAAGTTTTCAAATGTCTTCAGATCACGCCAAGTCGTCGTCAGCCGAGATGCCGAGCCTCCATCAACATCAATTTCAAATAGTTTGGTGTCTTCAGATTTCTTCAGACTGTAAAATCTACAGAGGCCTCCCGACCCCTCTGCAGACTGAAATTTTGTTTTCAGACGTCTTCAGATGGTCCGATCTGAGATGCCATCATCCCAAGTTACCTTATCCTGTCCCGCCCCTGCTTATGTCATCTATCCCCCTCCCCTCCCACCTCCCTTCCGCCTATCTACATCCCGCTATACCAACGTGAAGCTTCATAATTGCTATAATTCTTCATGCAATCCTTAAAATGATGCTGACAGGCCTGCATGTGCTAATAAATTGTAGGAATAGCCCTATTTTTTATTCCAATCTTTGTTGTTAAATACTCCACTGTTGTAACTTGGCCAACGGATTACAGAGGTGTAAGGGCTACTCTAATGACATAGTTTTGTGGCCAGGGGAGGTAAATAAACTATGAAATGGGCAAAGGAATGGTGGGGACTCTCAATACCAGTTGATGAATTCTGAAGTTTCTAGATTCTGAAGTTAGGCTTACGGGCTGAAGATTTGATGGTGGCATCGTCTTCAGATTCGGACTTTAAAATCTGAAGACATCTGAAGATTTCAGATGTCTTCAGATTCTTACGGGAAGGTATCCAGTATTTATATACATGGGATATTCTACACTATTCTACAGTGTTCCAATGCCAATGAGTCAGTATGACTTGCACATGAGTCAAGAAGCTAAGTTGTTTGGTTGCACCTTGCTTGCCAAACATTACACTCATCAAAGTCAATACCAAGTCAATACTAACTTCTAAGTGTCAGAAGTAGAGGACACAGGCTTGAAACACATGTGAATGTCATGGTATGAGCAGTACCATAACACTGGTTCACCTGGTAGCTTTGGTAGACACAGAGCAACACACACAACATAGAGCTATCTAGCAAATTCAGGAGACTACTGGTGCTACTGAGATTAATAGGATGACTACAGGAACTATGCACTAGGGGACTTGTGTACCCAGGTATTCAGTATACTAAGGGTATTTGTAACTACTGACCCAAGTCAGCACCTTCTGATGATGTCCTCCATTCAATGCTGCCTGGAGTGCATTTCCATACCCTCCTCTACATGCATTTACATCTGCCCCCTTCTCTATCAGTAGCTTTGCAATGGCCTCATGGCCTCCAAATGATGCTGCACTGAGTGGATTTCTATATCCTCCTCCCTGTGCATTTACATCTGCCCCCTTCTCTATCAGCAGCTTTGCAATGGCCTCATTGCCTTGAGCTGATGCTATCTGGAGTGCATTTCGATGCATTACTGTTTGTGCATTTACATCTGCCCCCTTCTCTATCAGCAGCTTTGCAATGGCCTCATGGCCTCCAACTGATGCTGCATTGAGTGGATTTCCATATACTCCTCCCTGTGCATTTGCATCTGCCCCCTTCTCTATCAACAGCTTTGCAATGGCCTCATGACCTTCAACTGATGCTACCTGGAGTGCATTTCCATAAAATCCTCCCTGTGCATTTACATCTGCCCCCTTCTCTATCAGCAGCTTTGCAATGGCCTCACATCCTCTATTCGATGCTATCTGGAGTGCATTTCCACGCCCTCCTCCCTGTGCATTTACATCTGCCCCCTTCTCTATCAGCAGCTTTGCAATGGCCTCATGGCCTGTAATTGATGCTGCTTGGAGTGCATTTCCATACCTTCCCCCCTGTTTATTCACATCTGCTCCCATTTCTAGTAAATCATGTGATGCTTCAGTCAGTCCAGCCAGTGCTGTATAATATAGTGGTTTAGCAATCTGATCCCCCTGTCTTTGTAGCTCTCTAACATCATATTCATCTATATTGCAAATTCGAACCCAGTTGAGAAAGGCAGCATTCTCATCTGTGAAAAGCTCCATTATCAATGCAAATCCTATAGATGACTGACATCTATTTTTTTCACTGGAATGTGTATGTAAAATCCAGTACTTTGCAGCATAGTTTGCAAGGGGGGAGGACACATCCAAATTTCTACCAAGTGGCTCAGATGTATCAAATTGCAAAAGATATGCCAGACAGATTTGAGATATGACAGAGTGTGATAGCTCTTCATTGAAGCCAAGGTCTCTGATATGTGTCATTTGATGATTTTGAATATACTGAGACATAAGATATTCTTTGACAGAAAAGTGGGAGAGCTTGATAAAACCTGTTCAATCATCAATCCTCATTTCAAAATGGTATTACTGTAAAACATACCATCTGCTTTCATAACAAGACTAGAACATATTTTCAAAACATCCTTGATATCTTGAAGTTCATTATCAGAGTTATACTCTGGTCCATTCTGAGCCCAAAGATCAATGGCAGAAGTTGCAGCCAGCTCTTCCAGTGTTAATGGACGAACAGCAAAAGACAGCCACTGTAAAAATGTTTTTGCATAACCATGATCATTTTCATTGATCCCCAGCAAGATTCGATCATAGGTTTTATCCAAGCCCTTAGGTAGATCAGCTAGCTGCCTTCTTAGGTCAGCCTTGTTCCGGCACTTTTTTAACTCATTTAACTGTAATGCAACCCAGCGAAACCTAAAATTGCAATTAGTAATTATCCTGTCATTCAAATGTTAATAATAAACATACATTCCACCTGCTTGTTCCATTAATGTCAACTTTATTTGGTCTTGCATCTCAGACTTCCATTTTTGTAAATTAGAGTCATTCTGAAGCTGATAGTCAAGATAGGCCACAAGATCATGATTCTCAGATTCCTCAACCAAGTCAAGATAATGATGAAACTTTAGCTTGTCCTCAATCTCCTGCTCTGGGCGACTAGTAACTATTAAGTGAAGACCCAGATTCATGTCTTTCTCCAGAATAACAGTCTCAACCCAGTTAAGAAGCTTTTCTCTTTCAGTACATTCATCAAGAGCATCCAGAATAATGAATGTTGAGCTAAAGCCACCAAGAATCATTTCAAGAGTATTCTGCAGATCATCCAGAGTTGGCTCCTGATGGCCATTGCCACAGCGAGCATAAAGATCCACCAAGACTTTAGGTACTCTACCCTCACATTTGAGACTGAATTGCCAGATGAGTGATCGCATCAGTTTATCATGCAGCTGGAAATCCTTCTGTGAGTCTCTTCCATCAAAGAAGAAATATGCAGTAGCAGAATTGAATCTTTCAAGAACATTGTGAATTATTGCTGAGCTAAAAAAAATAAAAATCAATTCAGTTTTGTAAAAAATAGTGGAATTCAAAACCTTAAAATGGTTTTCCCAGAGCCAGCTGGATAGACTGTCAATCACATATAAATTCACAAATTTTGACAGATAACTTACATTTTCCTTTGATCCAGAGAAAGCCAGGCTGTTTGAACCACCCAGAAAATGTATCTCCTTTGACAAACCATTGACAGGTGTCTAGTTGACTCTTCCAAATTTCATATGCAGCATTGTAATTAAGAGACTCCTTAGGTGGAGAAAGCCACTTATAAATCTTCTCCACTAACAAAAAAATAATGTTAATGATATATTCAAAAGAAGAACCTGCAACAATACCCAGTTGTTCATCCCTAATCATCTCAAGTGTGATTTGAATATTTGGGTCCACACCTACCAACCACATATATCATTAAGATGAACATAATGCTTTTCTTACTCCTTACCTTGATTGATGGTACCTATCAAAATATAAGTGAAAGTAAAAAAATGTGATGATCTAAGCAACAAACCATAGTTAGAGCCTGTAATCACATTTTGAGCTGAAATATCATTGATTGTAAGTTCAGCTTGTTTTGCCAAGAAGTCTGCATGGTCAAATACATTGGGACAAATCTGAGCTATATTGATAAGAGTACTGACCAGCAGGAATCATTTCTTCATGCATAGCAGAAGGAACAGATGGAGAGACAGGCACATGACAATCTATACAGAGTAATCAGAAAAAGAATTTAGATATTCAGAGCAAGCATGAACCAGTCAAGAGAGGAGAAGAGGTATCAATAGCTTCTTGCACAGAGCCTTCAACCTGATCAGCTGTGATATGAGAATTGATAGAGGTCAACATCAACATCATAGCAAATAGACTGAAGGGTATCTCACAGGCAACAGGCATTCCCATACCCACTGATACCAGGCCTGCATTCCAAACAGAAGCACTTGAGTGTTACCAATAACGAATGAGATAGGGGTTTGGAGTTAACACAGACGAGTGGAGATAGGTAAAACCTGCTGTGGGCGCTCGACCTCTCCTTCCCCGGGGACTTCAAACGGATCACCTGCAAATTTGATTTGATGAGCGATCGGCATTCACTTTGGGGCAGGAAGACTAAAAAGTATCTTACTGATAACTGGCATGACCTTGTCCGCCGCGGGGATGGTCGAAGATTGAGTTACCATTATAGGCAGGGCGGGGCGAGCTATATTGATGCTAGTGCCACCCGCAGATCCAGGTACTGGAGAAAGCAATCGCGTGAATGATTTTTTCAGACTGTAGAACGGTTCGACGAAAGGGTCGCTGGGTTGGGTACACATTGTAGACGATGAGATGGACGTTGAGAGGAAGATGCGTGTTCAAGCGTGGCAAAGCTGCTTGTTTTGGGTGTGGCTATGCGAGAAAGACAACTCCGCTTTCCCACCTATGGGCTCTCTAACTTGCAAAATCGTTGGTCTCCAGTCGATCTTTCAGCCAGCTTCGATGGGGGTCTGGCTTCCAGTTTCGAAGTACCCGTTGGTTCAACTCCGGAACCCTTTCATGCGACTCGTCCAATGTTTCCTCTCTGGCCCCTGCCGACGTCGCCTGGAGATCTTGACTCGACCTCCGCTGCAATCAAAACAAAATGCGATGGCCGCTTTCGTCAACATGTATTGATACAGCGAGCGGGCAACTGTTGAGATGCAAAGGATGCGCAAATAGTTAGTTCGTGGGCTTCATCGCAAAGACGTTTGGGTGCGTCAACTCTGATTTAGTTCTTTCTCCCATTAAATCTCGTCCCCTTCCCGCCTTACCTCGTTCACCCCTTCTGTGTTGCAACTAAACATTCTCCCCCCCCCCTTCTTCCGCATGCACCCGTTAGTCTACTATACTGATAATTCCGTGACAGCCTTGGTCCCCTCAACTTGTTTTACGAGCGCCATGCTCTCAAACCGTACAAGATCGCAAACCACAAATTTCTGCTGATCATAAGCGCACGCGTCAGCCGGAGTGCTGGAGAGTAGGGATAACGGCCGTCTTTCCTTTTGTAAGTTATCGCCCTTGCGTAATTTATTCATTCAAACCCTCCCCCCTTCCTTGACCTCTGACTTCCTTATCACCTCGCATACACTCGATTTTCTGCCTCGCTGACTGCCCCCCTTCCGTTACCCAGGTCCTGTTCCGTAAAACCCATGCAAGTCTCACTTCGATGATCGTACCGCCTTTCCTAGGTCCACCGTGGCTGGCCCTCACGACCCGGCCACTTGCATCCCTTCGTGCATCGAGTCGCGACGGGACCCCACACGTACATTGACCATCTGATCGGTTGCACCCAACCATGTGGTTATTCGGTCATTCTCCTCTCCTCATTCCTCAGAACTTCTCACGTACCCCACGCGATGCTCTATGTGCCGTTACATCCATGATATATCACCCAACAGCCGCAATCTCTGCCCGTGATACGAGCAATCATTGGCTCTGGACTGGGCGTGCACACCGCGTAGAATCTCCGTCATGCGTATCCATCCGCAGCTCGTCGTCGCCACTCCGCAACGTCGCACATACAGATGTACCCATCGCTGAGTGGGCTCTTGTAACTTCAGATTAGATGCGCTTGACGCTGGTTACTGATACCTGCCTTCTTTTTCAATGGGTTTCCAGCCTATGTCAAACTACTGAGGGCAAAGGTTTAGGGTGGAGAAGCACTGGTCTTTGGAGGGTCCTTGTCTGTTCTCACTCGAAGGAGGATGGAGGCGTGGCTATTGCTCCCCCAAGTTGACTCCGTAGCTTGACGGACTGATATGTTTTCAAACTGGCACAATATCAATCATAATTTCATTATCTCCCACAACATCAACGTGCACTCGTTAAAAAATGCCGCCTGCTACTACTTCCTCCCTTCACAACAATTTATGAGGCATTATATATATACATACTTTCCTTTGCCTGAGGCATCTCACGCCCAAGGACACAAACGTGATGGTTCTGGCGTTGATGATGCCAACAGTCGGGAATGCAGTAGGTACCGGTGAAGAATTAGATTTACGGCTGTACAGCCCGCTTGACCAAAAGTGATTAGAAGCGGTGTATATGCGACCTACATCCGTGCTATGGAGTAGACGGTGGGATGGGTAATGGTAGATGTCTAGGAGGTCTCGCAGCACATAGAGAAGGGTGCGTAAGAAGAGGAGGAGGAAGCGGCTCAGAGGAGGAAGGTGAGCTGAAGTGGATAGGTAAATCCACTTTTGAGAGGGGTTGTTACTTGCTCATACAAACGACGCATTATCCTTTGCCCTATGCACCCCATCATCCTCAGTCAACGCATCACCACCTCCTAGGTGATCCTAAACGACAGCCTAAATCCCTCTCAGTTGGGGCGGTCACGTCGACTTGCAAGAGGAACCAAGGTCGTCTAGGAAGAGTTGTATAGAAGGGCGTGTGTCGTCGCCCTTGGGGTCCAAGAGGGGATGGAGCCTATGCCGTCAGGATTTTCCGAACGCGCCGATGTACATAGACCCAGCGATGTGTTCTAGTTCCTCTAGGTTGGACTTGTTCGCGACCAGGGTATAGTGCTATCATCGAAATTGATCTGCGTAAGTAGGCAGAAAGAGAGCGCGAGGAAGGCCACGGGGGATGGCAATACTTACGAAGGCCGTTATATGCACGAGTCGTTAATCTGGATGACGCCCTTGATGAGGAGGACAACCGAGCTTGTGGCCAGTAGCGTGAGTCGGCGATCAGATACGCGGACGTCGACTTGGCTTGGCCAACTAACCCAGGAAATCAGAACGGAAACAGGTTTGGACCCCAGAAGAGGAAGCACGAACCGACCCCGAACTAAACACTCGGCGCTTGTCACTCAGAGCGACATATTCTTGCTGGTGAGCGTCCTCGCTGGGCAAGCGGAAGAAAACTATGACGATCGATCAGCCCTCTGGAGTTACTCACAAGTATGAGATCGGGTAAACTCACTGATATATGGTATTATTGCCACCAACGAAATCCTTCGAGTCGTCTAATCGTTCAGTCGTAGCTGGCTTTTCCTTTGACATTCTCAAAGTTATTAACCTCCCTTCCATGCGCCGATTTCATAAGAGGACTTGTCAAGTCTTGTAGATGCAACAACGACGGACGAGGCTTTGGCGAAGTCGACAGTCGGCCAACTTCCGTCGCTTCAACGCGTGACCCTCGTCCGGTTCGTCATGGATCTGTCGGAGCTGGATGGTGGTTGCGGTAGTGAGAAACCCAGGGAAGCGCATCAGCGAGAACTGAGGTTTGAACAAAGAGCCAACAGGCTTGCGCCGTAAGATCTTTACGTTGACGCCTGGTTGCGCAATATGTTAGCAACATGTTGAAATAGCTAAAGGAGTAGTACTCACTTGATAGTACGCGCTTGTCCGTGACCATCCGCTGCACTTGCTACACCTTGATGTTGGTTGAGTGGCTCTTGAGGCCGACTGGATAAAGTTCGTTGCAGTTGCGCGGTTGGCGGTGATCATTCTGGGCCGCTGGCGCTCGGATATTTCCTCGTAACGCCCACCTTCGTCCTTTGGATGCGGATCGTGATTTCTGTAAGGAGAGACTGTCAGAAATCGGCAATGATCCATACAAATGGTTGCCAGCAGCATAAGTACTGACAAGATACCAAGTTCCCGTCCAATCATGAGTAGAAACGCAGTGCACGGTTTGCATTTTCTCAAAGGACGTGATACTAGGTGTCATGATAATGAGCGGGAGAACGGACAATGAAATAGCAAAAGAACTCTTTACCGTTCTCATGCCAATTCATAAGGAAGGGCGGTAGACGTGAGCGGCTGGGCTCAACAAAGGTGGAGCGTTATGGCATACGTATTCGAAGATTGCGTAGACAGGAAGGTCGTGAATGGTGATAGAAGTCCGCATTGGGGCAAGAAAGTAATGGGGTGCATCCTGGGCATGATCACGCAGAGTCAACTGGGGACTAACGAGAAGATTAATAAGAGATAATTGATAGGGGACAGAAAATACGCTACTGGATCGCATATTGGTATTGTCCCTGAAATGAGATGAAGCATCAGACGAAGAACAATTGCGTAGGGCAGAAGAGGCGGAGAGAAGAGAGGTGGTCGTGATTATCAACGCAAGATCAACGCCCAGGGATGCAACTTGACCACCATCATGCCTTGACGTCGCTCAAGACACATCCAATACGTCGCACCGCCAGCTATCCCGGTCATTGCCATTGCATTCTCAATACCCCGTAGTACGATCATTAAATGCCTCTTCGAGTTAGCCTGAGGCCGTTTGTTGGGTTGGATGACTCTGAGGTGCGTTTGCGATCTCTGCCGCCAGTTTCGCATTCTAATCTTACATAGTTCCCTTAAGCCCTGCAGCGTGCTACTCCATGGCGGTTCAGCTGCAATTCTGGTCGCAATATCGTGCGGTCTCACCTCACAGACATGCGATCCAGAGCAGCCGCCATCCTTCACCCGCAACACCGAGCTCCAATTACCTGAGCTTCTCTATTCCTTCCAGCCCAACATATCCGAAGCAGGATGTTCAGCGTTACCTCACGTCCTCTCAGCTCTCGTGTTCGTCATTTGATGCCGTGGCGTTGCTGCCAGATTCGCAACGACCAATTATCCTTGTGCGTCGTCCCCGTTGTGCAAGAAGAGGATCCCCACTGTCTTCTGTCGAACACCCTTCACCACCATTGCCGACTACCCAGCAGCCGCAGACCAGTCGGCACATCGACCTTCGAAAAAACCACCGCTTTTGACCACCTCCCACAAGGCGCCCACCTCTTCGTCATCGACCGAACGGCAGACGACCCATATGGCCCGTTCATTCTTGCAGATTGCTGTTTCGGTAGTCTGGACGAGGGGTTCGACGAGGATCCGTGAGTAAACCCTTTTTCTCTAAAAGTGGATACGAAGATCTGACATTGTCGTTGCATTCATCAGGGAATGCGGTCATCTCTTTTTCCCCGTCTTCCCGACTCTTGCTCTTTATATTCTTGACATGGCGAATAAACACTGTTCATCAACCTCCACCTATCACCAGACTGGCCGATCAACGATCTGGATAGACGTTGGCTTGGAATCTGCGTCAGATGTCCATCTCCGAAATGCCACGATCCTCCAAACCTACCCACATCTCCTCTCCTTCTCTTCCCTCCGGACTGTTGCACTTTCCATATCGTTTTACGACGAGTTCCGGTGGATCCAAAAGCATCAGGACCATAGCCGCTTGAAGCAACGATGTCGACAAAAGTTTTGCAGGAGACAGTCACCAAGACTTTGGTCGTGAAAGGGCTTGACTGATCATACCTACGAAGTTGTGAAGGGAGAGGCGGCTGTCGCTTATGGAAGGGCTATGGCCGGTCAGTTTCTTTGTGGTGTTGTGTTGCAACGTCAGCTCACGATATCATTCAGGTTGCTATCAAGGTCCTGCGTCAAGTCATGGTACAAAACGTTCGAGAGAAGCTCATTAAGGTATGGAGTGCTTCTGTTGCTGGAACGTTTTGAGCTGACATGATGGTTTGTTAGCGACTTCAATCGGAGGTTATTGCTTGGCATCGTCCATGTCATCACAACGTGTCGCAGCTGTTTGGGATAGTGCATCTTTCACAGAGCATTGGCATGGTATCGCCTTGGTGCGAACATGGGACGCTTTGCGACTATCTGGAGCATTTCCCCGCGTGAACTAAGACTTGTACGGATTTCAAATGATCCACCGAGTTTCATCATCTAACCCTCGTTGTAGCTCGTCCATGTGGCTTCTGTCATTGCCTATCTGCATACATTCAGGCCTACCATCGTCCATGGGGACTTGAAAGGAGTCAGGCCCCTTCCTTCGTCCTCTCGTGCTCCCCGCTGACCCCCAACTCAGAAAAAGGAAACATTCCGATCGATGAGCATGGGTATGCCATCATCACCGACTTTGGGCTCTCCAATTGAAATCTCCGGCAAAGGTATACGCATTTGGGTGCAAAGTCCCACCTAGTACTCTCTCCAGGTTCGCGTTATCGCCACGCTACACGCGCGAGGATTCACGGCCCTCAAAGTGACGAATATGACTCGCAAGATGGGCTTGAAGAAGAGAGTCAGTCTCTGGGCAATGATTCTTCTTCTTGTCATGCCCTGGAACTCAATCGCGCCATCTCCTTGCGTTGACGGCTTATCACCGATGACTTGAGGAGTAGCTTTGGGCTTCTGAGTCGCCACGCGTGGACTCTGCACATTGTTCAAGATTTTTCAGCTGGAAGTTATACGTTTCCGTAGCTTCACGATTATCATTCGCTACGTGGTGGACAAATTATAGCTACAGCGCAACCATTCACCTCGAAGTCTTTACGTCTATTTTTTATACCGCAGGGAACTCATCCCCACGCACACTTTTAGCCAATTCAATGGATTATAATTTCATCAACGCTTCCAAGGCCGTTCCATCCCCCACCTCTTTCGAAAGCGACAGTACATAGTACGAGCTTACCCACTTACCCTCACCCTCCTCCTCTGAGCCGCTTCATCCTCGCAACCTCCTCTCTGTGCTGCGAGATCTCTTAGATACACATACCTCTACCCACCGCAGCCTCTGCTCCATGACACGGACGTAGGTCACATATACTTGCACGGCTTCCAATCACTTTTGGTGGAGCGCGCTGCATGGCCGTAAACTCAATCCTTCACCTGTATCCCGCATTCCCTGTTCTTGGCATCATCAACGCCAGAACCGTCACGTCTGCGTCCTTGGGCGCGAAATGCCTCAGGCAGAGGAAGGTATGTAGGTACTGCCTCGTAAATTGTCGTGAAAATAGGAAGTAATAGCAATCAATGAGTGCCCGTGATGTTCTGGGAGATAACGAAATTGCGATTGACGTTGTGCTAGTAATTTGAGTATCAATCGGTCAAGCTACGGTTGAGCTACGGAGTCAATCTGGTAAGTTTTATGATTATACGAAATCGTTCCACTGCAAGTAACGTATTCGAATGTCCTGGGTTTGACGACGGCTCGCGTGCATATTGATGCCTGTCCAATTCTTCGACGCAAGAGATCAGTCAAAATCACAGACCCTTTCACGACCAGAGTCTTGGTGACTGTCTCCTGCAGAAACTTTTGTCGACATCGTTGCTTCAAGCGGCTATAGTCCTGATGCTCTTGGATCCACCAAAACTCGGCATACGATGATATGGAAAATGCAACAGTCCGGAGAGAGAAGTAAAGGAGCTGTGGGTAAGTTTGTAGGATCATGGCATTTCGGAGATGGACGTCTGACGCCCGTGCCCAGAATGTAGAGAGCAAGGGTTGGGAAGACGGGGGAAAAGATATCACAGCATTCCCTGATGAATGCAACGACAATGTCAGATCTTCCTCTGCACTTTGAAGGAAAAACGGTCAACTCACGGATCCTCGTCGAATCTCTCATCCAGACTACCAAAACAGCAATCTGCAAGAATGAACTCCTGGTCCTCGTAAGTAATGCCAACGCAGACCTCTGCTTCGCATAAGCGCCAGCAATACAGGTCCATCACGTCTTAAAAAGTATCCACAGACCACCCTACAGGCAACCGTTCGTCTGAACGCGACCGTATCAAGCCATCTGCCCAAGAATGCTCCGAAAAGTCAATGAATCCATGCAAAATGTATCGCCTGCGGAGCTGGGCTATGAGCGGTCTGTAAGCATTGAAGATTTGTCCGTCTTTAGGCTCCTCGCAGCCCGATTTCTCAAGGGCGACAACCATCTGGCGGTAGGCTGTGCTGTTGCGGAAACGAAGTAAGACAAACTATTTGCGTAAGGTTTCGAGCAAGTTTCGAGTGACATCCCGTCGATTGAAAGATATGAGTTTCTTGGCATTTTCCTCACTCCGCACAGTTCAGTCCAGAATATCGGTCACCACCGACCGAGCATCAGACTCAAGCTTCGTAAAGCTTTGCTCGGCTTCTTTGAAGATTTTCTGGGTCTCGACATCAAGAAAGCCAGAGTTGAAGTCTTCAAATATGGTCCCATGCATATGGCTACTTGGTATCTCGTATGCTTCGTTTAATTCGTATCTTACACATCGTATATGTGAACACGTTGTTTGTTTGCAGGTTTACCAGTTCCGTTGTAGAGATTTAAGACAGGTATGATTGAAGGTTGTCGTCGACGTACACATGCGACGGACAGAACTCCTAAAGGAAATGAGGGAAATAAGGTGAGGTGGAGCCCGACATGCTGTTAAGCGCGCGTCGGTGAGATAACCTAAGCCTTTGACAATGCAAGAACGTACCAAATGTCAGTCCACTCCTAGTTGCGTTGATGTGGACAAGAAGGAGAGTAGACTCTCCGAAGCATACCACGCGGGGACCTGGGATATAAGGCTGTGTCGTGGAAACAACTGGCGGATTAAACGAGCTAAACGGGCGTCCAGATGGCCATCATCAAAGTGATCGCGAAGTCGAGTCCAAGTTCCTCTATTTCTACAAAGGTGGGAGACAAGTTAATCTCGGAGATACTGGTTATGTAAGTGGTCAAGCGTCCTTGCCTGAAATGCGTCATCGGTCCACCTAGGCACATGAACACTGCTATCAATTACAGAGCGGAAAAAAGAGGAATCATAACAGACCGCAGACACACGCCTGACATACGTCATATGGCTTTGATATTGTAGTCCAAGAGGCGTCAAGCAGTAGCGCTGGTGGAGTGCGGAGAAGAAAATCAGGCCAGAAGGAGGTGGGTAACTGCAATTCCTTGCGGCTGGACGAGGTCTAGAACGTTGAATAGTGCATGAATTTCCCGAAGAAGCCAACGGGGCCTTGGAGAGATAAGTCCTCTTGAGACAGAGTACAAGAGGTAGCTATCGGTCGATTCATTAACCCCTTGAAGACTAGCATGAGAAGGAGGTGCATACTCACTGGGAACTCCACTTACCTTCCGATGAGCTGATCTCCGGGCTCTCTAGAAATGTTTGGACGTTCCGCTTGAAAGGAACTGGCTCAATTAGCCGGGCATCTTCAAAGATCGCGCACGATTTATCTTGATTCCAATGCACGTATGCCTCCCCAAACGACGATGAGAGCGGATCCTGAGAGTGTCGTTCGCCTGTCCTGGCGAAGGCTTCGAAAGAAGAAGGGGGGTGGTCGAAAGCGGTGGTGATTCGCGCTGAAAGAAGGTCGATGTACCCGGGTGGTTGGAGTGCCGACTGGTGTGCGGCTGCTGGGTGGTCGGCAACCGTAGCCTCGTAAGTGGATGGTGGTGATGAGTGTTCGACAGAGCACGGTAGTGGATCCTCTTCTTGCACAAAGGGGACATCAAATGGCGAATACGAGAGTTGAGAAGACGTGAGTTAACGTTGAACATCCTGCTTCGGATATGGCGAGTTGAAAATTAACAGAGAAGCTCAAGTCAGTGCCGCCAGAGCAGCATATCTGTGAGGTGAAACTGCACGATAGCGTTGCAGGGTTTCAGGGAACATTAGAAAGCGAAACTGGCGGCATAGGTGGCAAAGGCACCTCAGAGTTATCCAACCACGCTTCAAGCTTCAGCGGTCAAATGGCCTCAGGCTGATCTGGTGCAAAGCCAATGACAGAGATAACCGGCGGTCCCGTAATCCCGTAGTCCCTGCGACGTGTTGGATGTTTCTTGGTCGACGTCAAGGCATGATGCGATGGACAAATATGACCATCTCATGACGCGTTGTGGTTTTCTAGGACGTCCGCCTCTTCCGTTCTACGCTATCGTGACAATACCAATATCCGATCCAGTAGCGTATTGTCTGCCTTCTATCAATATCTCTTACTTATCAATCCTTTCGTTAGTCCTCACATCTTAGCCTTGACTCTACGTGATCATGCCCACCATCACTTTCTCGCCCCTCCGGTGTGCGTAGATGACTTCTATCGCCCGCCCACGACCTTCCTGTCTACGGGCAATCTTCAAATACGTATTCCATAAGGCTTCAACTTCGTTGGGCCCAGCCGCTCACTCCTGCCGCACTTCCTTCGTCGTGAACACCTATGAATTGGCATAAGAACGGTAAAGTTTTCTTTGCTATTCCGTTATCCGTTCTCCCGCTCATTATCATGACACCTAGTATCAGGTCCTTTGAAATAACGAAATCCGTTCACTGCGTTTTTACTCAGGATTGGACGGCAAGAAATTTGTATATTGTGAGTACTTATGCTGCTGGCAACCATTTGATGACATTCATTTTTGACGGTCCTCTTCCAGAAATCGCAATCCGTATAACCTAGGCATCCAAAGAACGAAGGTGGCGTTACGAGGAAACATCCGAGCGCCAGTGGCCCCGAATGATCACCTCCAACCGCGCAACGGCAACGAACTTTATCCAGCTAGCCTCAAACGCCACTGAACCAACATTAAGGTGTAGCAGGCGCAGCGGATGGTCATAGACGAGCTCGTACTATCAAGTGAGTACTACGCCTTTAGCTATTCTAGTATGTTGCTAACATATTGCTCAACCAGGCGTCATCGTGAAGATCTTACGGCGCAAGCCTGTTGGCTCTATGTTCGATCTCGAGTTCTCGCTAATGCGCTTTCCTGAATTTTTTACTACCGCAACCGCCATCCACATGACGAACCGCAGGGTCACGCGTTGAAGCGACGGAAGTTGGTCGACTGTCGACTTTGCCAAAGCCTCGTTTGTCGTTATTGCATTCTCCAAGACTTGACAAGCCCTCTGATGGAATCGGCGCATGAAAGGGAGGGTTAATGACTTAGAGAATGTCAAAGGAAAAGGCGGCTACGACTGAACGATTGGACCACTTTAAGGATTTCGTTGATGGCAAGGATATCATGAGGGGTTATCAGTGAGTTTACTCTCGTGCCTAACTCCAGAGGGCTGATCTGTCGTTATAGTCTTCTTCGTGCCCAGCAAAGGCTCATCAGCATGAGTATGTCGCTCAGAGTTACAAGCGCCTTGAGTTCATCTCGGTCAGTTACTGCTTCCTTTCTTTTTTTTCACCTGTTTCCAGTCTAACTTCCTGGTTGAGTAGGCCAAGCGAATTCGACGTCCGCGTATCTGATCACCGACTCACGGTACTGGCCACAAGCTCAGGGGTTGTCTTCCTCACCAAGGACGTCACACTTCAACGACTCCATATTAACGACTCGTGCACATAACGACCTTCGTAAGTACTGCCATCCCCCATGCCCTCCATCGCGCTCTCTTTCTGCCTACTCACGCAGATCAATTTCGATAATAGGTCTTGGTGCACTCATAATCTCGTCGCGAACAAGTCCGACCAACAGGAACAAGAATACATACATCGGCGCGTTCAAAGAATCCTGATGGAAAGTCGTTACATAGGCTCCCCCTCCCCTCTCGGACCCAAAGGGCGACGGCACATGCCCTTTCATTCAACTCTTCCCATACGACGATCGAGGAATCCACTCGCTTGCACGTCAACGTGACCACCCCCACTGGGAGGGATTTAGGTTGTCGTTTAGGACTACCTTGGAGGTGATGCGTTGGCTGAGGATCCTGAGGTGCATAGGGCAAGGACAGTGCGCCGTTCGCATGAGGGAGCTAATCCACTTTCGCTCACCTTCCTACCGGTCTGAACTGCTTAATCCCCCTCTTCTTACACACTCAATCATCGCAACCTTATCTTTCTGCTGCGAGATCTCCTAGACACCTACCTCTACCTACCCCACCCTTTGCTCGATGACACGGACATAGGTCGCATACACTTACACCGCTTCCAATCACTTCTGGTCAAGCGCGCTGTACGGCCGTCAATTTAGTTCTTCACCTGTATCTACCGCATTCCCGACTATTGGCATCATCAACGCCAGAACTGTCACGTTTGTGTCCTTTCAACTCCTTTGGCGTGAAATGGCTGAAGCAAGGGAGGGTATGTATATACTGCCTCGTACATTGTTGTAAAAGTATAAGTAAGAGCAAGCGGCACTGATTAACGAGTGCCCTTTGATGTTCTGGGAGACAATGAAATTATGATTGTCATTGTGCTAGTTCTGTATGATTTGAGTACATATCAGTCCGTCAAGCTACGGAGTCAACCTGAGGAGTGTTATGATTATAGGTTATCGCTCCATTACAAGTAAGATATTCGAATGTCACGACAGGTCGCGTGCATATTGATGCCGTTCCAATTCTTCGACTCAAACTCGATCTGCTGAACGAGAAGAAGGCAGGTGTCAGTAATCATCGTAGGTCGTGTCTAATCCAAACTTACAAGAGCCCAATCAGCGATGGGTACCATCTGTATGTGCGACGTTGCGGCAGCCATGGCGACACCGAGCTGCGGATGGATACGCACGACGGCGATTCTACGCGGTGTGAACGCTGCGTCCAGAGACAACGATTGCTCGTATTACGGGCAGAGATTGCTGCTGTTGGGTGGTATACCATGCATGTAACGACACAGCGTTGGGCGTGGGGTTACTGAGAAGTTCTGAGCAACGAGTAGAGGATAGCAACCAAATAGCCACATGGCTAGGCGCAACCGATCAGATGATAAATGTACGTGTGAGGGTCTCGATGCACGATGGGATGCAAGTGGCCGGGTCGTCAAGACCTGTGTAACGGATGGGGGCAGTTAGCGAGGCAAAAAATCGAATGTATGGGAGGTGATAAGGAATTCAGAGGTCGAGGAAAGGAGAAGGGTATGAATGGGGAAGTAACGCAAGGGCGATAACTTACCAAAGGAGAGATGGCCGTTATCCCTACTCTCCAGCTCTCCAACTGAAGCTTACGCTTATGAACAGGTGGACGGCAGTGACCTAGCATGATATATAGAGCTTTTCGAGAGCATATTAGGTTCGTCGAGCTGGGCATCGTTAAAAACGCCAGCCACGTCTGCAAGGGAACGTTTTTGTCGACTTGTGGAAAAGAAAAATGATCAACCTGAGCTAACGAAGTCTCCTCCATCATATGCACAGTGGCTTCGAGCGGGTTGTCGGGTGGGAGTCCAAAGATGGAATTGGAGCGGAAAAAAAAGTCGATTCCAATTCTGTGTATACCGTAAGCATCCAGTAAACTTCCCAATTTCGAGATTCAATTGTCGTACCAGTAGAAATCTGAGATTTGCCGTCTTGTACGCTTTAGAAGCATGGCGCTCGTAAACGAAGTTAAGGGGACCGGAGCTGCCACAGAATTATCAGTATATTAGGCTAACAAGTACATGTGGAAGGAGGGGGGAAAAGTTTGGTTACAGCACAGAAGGAGGAAACGAGGTAAGGTGGACACTGGAAAGGGGACGAGATTTAATGGAAGGAGGAACTCACTCAGAGCTGATGCACTCGAACATCTTTGCAATGACGCCCGTGTCCTAACTCTTCGCGCATCCAACAGTTCCTGGCTCTCTACATCGGTGCATGTTGACGAAAGCGGCCATCGGGTTTTCTTGAGGTCGATAAGGATCTCTAGGCGATGTGGGCAGTGACTGAACGACCCAGAGAGGAAACGTTGGCCGTTCGACGAGGGGAGTTCGTGGCGGATTTGAATCCATGGGACTGGAACCCCCATCGAAGCTAGCCGAACAAAAACAACATCGACTTGACACCAACGATTTTCCAAGTCGAAGGGCCCCTAGGTGGGTTGCAGGGCATCTCTCCTCGTGAAAGAGAAAGGTGTGTTTAGTGTCGGGTTGGTCATCAACAGGTCGGAGTTATCTTTCTCGCATAGCCACACCCAAAACCTTGCCACGCCCACCTACGCCCACGCATCTTTCTCTTAACTTCCATCTTGTCATCTAACAATGTGTATCCCAACCAATCACCCTTTCCTCAAACCGTTTTCTAGTCTGAAGAAAGCGATCACAAGATCACGCTCGCCGGTGCCTCAATCTGTGGGCATTGCTAGCGATGGTATAGCTTGCCCCAGCTCTGATTCCCCTCTCTTGATAACTCCATCTTTGACCATCCGCGCGGCACCAGTCACCAGTAAGATAATTTTAAATCTTCCTGCCCAAAAGTGAATGCTGCTGATTTGTTTGAAGGTCCTGGGGAAGGAGTGGTTGAGCACTCACAGCAGGTTTTACCTATCTCCACTGCTTCTGTTCTGAGTGTAGGCATGTCAGTGGGTGCGGAAATGACTGTGGCCTGTGAGATACCCCTCAATCCGTTTGCTATAACATTGATGTTGACCTTCATCAATTCTAATCTCACAGCTGATCAGGTTGAAGTCCCTGTGCAAGGAGCTGTTGATGTCTCTTCTCCTATCTTGACTGGTTCATGCTTGCTCCAAATCTCTATATTCTATTTCTGATAACTCTATAGATTTCCCAAGTTCTGGCTTGCCCATCTCTCTACCCATTCCTTCTGCTCTGAGTGCAGAAGGGATGCCTGCCAGTCAGTATCCTTATAAATATAGCTCAGGTTTGCTCAAATCTAATAGACCATGCAGACTTATCAATAAACCAAGCTGACATTATCAACAACACTTTTGCTGAAAATGTGAACACAGGCACTAACTATGGTTTGTTGTATTTGGATCATCACATTTATTGCTTTCACTTATATTTCAATAGGTACCATTTATCAAGGTAAGGAGTAAGAAAAGCATTATATTCATTGTAATGATATATGTGGTTGGTAGGTGTGGACCTAAATATTCAAATCACACTTGAGATGATCAGGGATGAACAACTGGGTATTATTGCAGGTTCTTATTTCAAATGTATAACTGACTTCATTTTTTCACTACAGTGAAGGAGATTTATGAGTGGCTTTCTCCCCCTAAGGAGTCTGTTAACTACAATGCTGCATATGAAATTTGGAAGAGTCAACTAGACACCTGTCAATGGTTTCTCACTGGAAGTACATTTTCTGGGTGGCTCAAACAGCCTGGCTTTCTCTGGATCAAAGGAAAAGGTAAGTCATCTGTCAAAAACTGTAAATTTATATGATATTGACAATCTATCCAGCTGGCTCTGGGAAAACCATCTTAAGGTTGAGAATTCCAGCATTTTTATGAAATTGAATTGATTTTTATTTTCACAGCTCAGCAATAATTCACAATGTTCTTCAAGGATTCAATTCTGCTACTGCATATTTCTTTTTTGATGGAAGAGACTCACAGAAGGATTTCCAGCAGCATGATAAACTGATACGATCACTTATCTGGCAATTCACTCTCAAATGTGAGGGTGGAGTACCTAAAGTCTTGAAGAATCTTTATGTTTGCTGTGGCAATGGCCATCAGGAGCCAACTCTGGATGGTCTGCAGGATACTCTTGAAAAAATTCTTGGTGGCTTTAGCTCAACATTCATCATTCTGGATGCTCTTGATGAATGTACTGAAAGAGAAAAGCTTCTTAACTGGATTCAGACTGTTGTCCTGGAGAAAGATATGAATCTAGGGTGCCACTTAATGGTTACTAGTTGCCCAGAGCAGGAGATTGAGGACAAGTTAAAGTCTTATGATTCTCTTGACTTGGTTGAGGAATCTGAGAATCATGATCTTGAAGCCTATCTTGACTATCAGCTTCAGAATGACTCTGACTTACAAAAATGGACGTCAGACACTCAAAAGCAAATAAAGTTGACATTGATGAAACAAGCAGATGGAATGTATGTTTATTATCAATATTTGAATGACAATTGCTAATGCTAACTGCAATTTTAGGTTTAGCTGGGTTGCATTACAGTTAAATGAGTTCAAAAAGTGCCGGACCAAGACTGACCTAAAAAAGCAGCTAGCTGATCTACCTTGGGGTTTGGACAAAACCTATGATCGAATCTTACTGGGGATCAATGAAAAAGATTGTGGTTATGCAAAAACATTTTTACAGTGGCTATCTTTTGCTGTTCGTCCACTGACACTGGAAGAACTGGCTACAACTGCTGCTGTTGATCTTTGTGCTGAGAATGGACCAGAGTATAACTCTGATAATGAACTTCAAGATGTTAAGGATGTCTTGAAAATATGTTCTAGTCTTGTTATGAAATCAGATGGTATGGTTTAGAATAACACCAGATTGAAATGAGCACTGACTATTAAATAGGTTTTATCAAGCTTTCCCACTTTTCTGTCAAAGAATATCTGATATCTCAGTATATTCAAAATCATGAAGTGACACATCTCAGAGACTTCAGCTTCAATGAAGAGCTATCACACTCTGTCATATCTCAAATCTGTCTGGCATATCTTTTGCAATTCCATACATCTGAGCCACTTGATACAAATCTGGAAGTGTCCTCCCCTCTTGCAAACTATGCTGCAAAACACTGGATTTCACATACACATTCCAGTGGAAACAATGGATCTCAGTCATCTATACTGTTTACATTGATGATGAAGCTCTTGACAGATGAGAATGTTGCTTTTCTGAACTGGGTTCGACTTTGCAATATAGATTACTTTGGCTCTAGAGAGCTACAAAGACAAAGGGATCAGATTGCTAAACCACTATATTATGCATCACTGGCTGGACTGACTGAAGCATCACAAAATTTGCTAGAAATGGGAGCAGATGTGAATGCACAGGGAGGAAAGTATGGAAATGCACTCCAGGGAGCATCAAATGGAGGCCATGAGGCCATTGCAAAGCTGCTGATAGAGAAGGGGGCAGATGTAAATGCACAGGGAGGACACTATGGAAATGCACTCCATACAGCATCACACAAAGACTATGGGGCAATTGCAAAGCTGATGATAGAGAATGGGGCAGATGTAAATTTACAAGGGGGAGGATATTATGGAAATGCACTTCAGGCAGCATCAAGTACAGGCCATGAGGCCATTGTAAAGGTGTTGATAGAGAAGGGGGCAGATGTAAATGCACAGGGAGGATATTATGGAAATGCACTCCAGGCAGCAATTTATGGAGGCCATGAGGCCATTGCAAAGTTGTTGATAGAGCAGGAGGCAGATGTAAATGCACAGGGAGCAACCCCATAGAAATGCACTTGAGGCAGCATCATACAGAGGCCATGAGGCCATTGCAAGGCTGCTGATAGAGAAGGGGGCAAATGTAAATTTACAAGGGGGAGGATATTATGGAAATGCACTTCAGGCAGCATCAAGTACAGGCCATAAGGCCATGGCAAAGCTGTTGATAGAGAAGGGGGCAGATGTAAATGCACAGGGAGGATATTATGGAAATGCACTCCAGGCAGCAATTTATGGAGGCCATGAGGCCATTGCAAAGTTGTTGATAGAGCAGGAGGCAGATGTAAATGCACAGGGAGCACACCATAGAAATGCACTTGAGGCAGCATCATACAGAGGCCATGAGGCCATTGCAAGGCTGCTGATAGAGAAGGGGGCAAATGTAAATTTACAAGGGGGAGGATATTATGGAAATGCACTTCAGGCAGCATCAAGTAAGGCCATAAGGCCATGGCAAAGCTGTTGATAGAGAAGGGGGCAGATGTAAATGCACAGGGAGGATATTATGAAAATGCACTCCAGGCAGCAAAATATGGAGGCCATGAGGCCATTGCAAAGCTGTTGATAGAGCAGGGGGCAGATGGAAATGCCATCTAGCACACCATAGAGTAATGCACTCGAGGCAGCATCATACAGAGGCCATGAGTCCATTGGAAAACTGCAATGATGAACAAGATATCTAGGATGCTGGAATCTCTCTACAAATGTTAAGGTAGAAGTATTCTTGGTATGTTCAGTATAAGGAAACATTGAAGATGAAGTTTTGTGACTTGAATAGCAAAGTATGACATTTTGACATCTGGTATTGAAATGTAGCTGGAGAACAATATACTGCTTGAAAGCATTTTTATGTGATTTTCTCATTATAACAGAGAAGTTTCCACAAGCACTAGACCCTGAAATTAGTTTCTCTCCAATGTTATCACCAACAGTGAGCACAGTTGCTACTTTCCCCTGATTTTCTGGCTATATTTCATGCAGATTTTCTTATTTGACAGTATACACTGCACCCTGAGAATAGTATATAACATCAGCAATAGTGAAGTATTTTTCCTTTATTATTCACACACAAATCTACACTTTTACTATTTTTGTTGTGCACAACTTTTGACTCACCACTCAGTGATACACCCATAACCTTGGTTTTTTTTTCATAAAAAGTCACTCAAACATTCTGAAATTTGGTACAATCATAGAAGGGTATTTATCTAAACTTTACATGTAGTTTTGTACTGAATGGTTGTGCTTAAGCTAATTTCCCAATTTTGGTGTATCATTAGCCAGTGAATGCACACCTTAAATGCAAACACACCTCAAGAACACAAATAAAAAACTATCAAATTGTAATGTACTTAATAGTAGTTTGTCAAATGTATCTGGTATTGCGAGGGGGATCCTGCACAGTGGCACAACAAATAAATAAATGGTAGATTCAGGGGGAAATGAAGGAACATGGGGTGGGTTGTTGAGATTTAAGCAAGGGATGGAGGGAAAACTTGGAAGCTGGAGGGAGGGGAGGGTGAATTTATAGGCAGAGGTGGATAACTTGCCAAAGGGGTGGGGAATAATGTCCAAATCACCTGCTCTAAACCCTACTATCCTGTCCATGTCCATGGGAAGGAATGACAAATGTGCCAGACCCCAATGTGGATCCTCCAAATTGTACACTTTGTACTTTGACCTGCCCCTGAACTGGGACAAGGAAGTGAGGTTGGGTGGGGGTGTGAGTGCTGTGGAGCCTCTAAGGTTGTCTAGGAGGAATAGGCAGAAGAAGGTGGTGGCAAGGACATGCCTCCCACAACGTCAATGAGATAGTGATGTAATAGGTACATTGCAGCCCAATACAACATGCCCGTGTAAGCCCACACATATTTTGTAGTGGCTGGGAAGAAGTGGGATAGACAGAGAGCTTTAATGGTTGCACAGCCTGTGTGTAATGAGGAGAACATGGGGATCCTCTAGAGTG